CTGAAGTTTTCATTTACATTAAATTTCAAAAATAAATGCATTAATTTTTTACATTTACCTTAAAATGCTATGCATTAAAAAATTACAGAATTTTTCATAACTCTGAACACCTGGCACTATCCACCAAAAAAGTTGTGAAAATTTCAACAACATATCCGACAGCAAAAAACGAATTAACAAATGAAATCCAACTGCCTGCCGTTAGTTGTTTGGCAATCGATNTCATAACTCTGAACACCTGGCACTATCCACCAAAAAAGTTGTGAAAATTTTAACAACATATCCGACAGCAAAAAACGAATTAACAAATGAAATCCAACTGCCTGCCGTTAGTTGTTTGGCAATCGACATCATTGGTTTCTGTGACACCCAAAATCGACACTAATTCCGATTCGAACATAAGACCGATAAAATTGGTTTTCAAGACACCAAAGTAATTTTTAGTCGTTTTCAAATCCAATGCCGATAGAAATTGGATTCCATTAGGGCCCGATTAAATTGATAAAATATCCACCAACCTCGACTGCATACACACCAATGAACATACATACTTATTTTAATAAAAAGAGCACAATGCGGTTAAGTGGTATGCAGCGGTTTTATATTCATACCACCGTTTTCTTTGCACTCACATTGTAGTTAAATATTAAATTATTATGAGCAGGCTTTTCAACCATTATTATTGCACACCAATCACAGTTACTGTATGGCGAATGAAAGTTTGTCGTAGAAATGCGCCCGGCAGATGTGGAGGCAGCAAGCAGAGTTTGAGTTTGACGGCTGTGGGTTCGTATGGTTAATGAATTATGGTCAATAACTGTTTGAATATGCTTTGTAATTAATTTGTGGTTTTACTATGTCACGCAGAGGACAAAGTGTGAAGAATGCACAGCCCAACACACCATACTGAAGTTGTGCCTATGTATTCATACTCAGACTGCGTATGTTTCGGACAGTAAAAGTTTAATGTACATATGTATGTATGTATATTTGTGTGTATGTAACATAAAAGCAGACCAATAAGTAGCTACTTACATATATTGAAAAAGCATACATACATATGTATGTAGATTAGATCGCACCACCTTACAACAAGCAAACCAGGAAAAGTTCCTCCCACACTCCTGAGACTAAAACATTTTCCAAGGCAATTTCAAACAAAAAAATATATTTTGGTTGAACGTAGTTTTTAAATTTTTCGGTAAAACCTCTATTCCGGTATAAAAAAAATTAGTTTTAATATAGTTCTGCTGGAATAATCGAAATACTTTCTTAGCAGAAGCTTAATTATTTTGGATGAGCTTAAATCTACTGAAATTAGGGTGGTTAGGGTGATAAGCTTTCAAATCTGGTGGGCCGGTACTAGAGCGCGGTATTTGAAGTCAACGAACTTTCAAAAAATTTTCTTCTAGAAACCAAAATATCTATACACATACCATACTTTCAAATCCGACTGTAAATGCCGAAGATATGACGTTCGTCAAAAAAAATTTAAATAATAAGTTTTACCTTACAAAAATCCTTTTTTTCTGGCACGGTCTAACATACATATTTCCGAGAGATAGGTACATACATACATACTATTTATGTATTTATCTAAAGTAAATGTGCATATCCTTATAGGATTTTCTTGCCGTAGGCATTTTTCATTATTATTATTATTATTATTATTGCTCTTATCCCTGTACTTTGTCGCCAATGCTATCGTAGTTGTCTTTCTTTTATTTATTTACTTAGGTACGTACCGTTAAATTAATCTTTTCTACTCTGCTGCCTACACATGTTTTGTGATTCTACAAGATATTTCAAGTGTTGTTGATTGTTGTAAAACGGAAAAGGATTTCATATTGTACTTTCTAAAAAGGACTCAACCAGCTGCGACCATCAACAGCAATACCATACTTTACCATACCGCCAAGTCACGCCTCCAACTACAAACCCAATTTTCAGGCACATAATATCAACAAACGCCCTTTCCCTTATATGGCCTACTATTTATGTATGTACGCATGTCAAAGAACAAAGGTATCCATCCACCAGCACTCGACAGTCGACCCCCATATAGTCACAAAGTCACCCCGACTCGCTGCGGTGCGGCTCTTTAGTGTTTCTGACATGGCGCGCGGTATCGTCAAGGAGATGTTGGTTTATTTGCAAATGCTTGTGATCTGGCATGCGGCGACCGGCGTTTGCCATAAAATTCGTTTATTAAAACCTTTGACTGGCAAGAGCATTTGAATACTGGCGTACCACCGACTGGCTTGGCTCATGATCAGTGTTGCCAGAAGCCATCTAGGTAAATGGACAAAAAAAAAAGCTACAAACAGCTAATTAAAAAATGTTCAAGCTTAAACAAGGCTACAAGTATTCAAATGTTTTATTAGTTTTTTTACAAACAAAACAGCAAAATAGGTACATATTTCTTGCATCCAATAACAAATTAAAGGTTATTTGCGCGATACAAAAATGACGGTAGTTTCAATAAACAACTTTTTGATTAAAAAGGCAGATTTTTGACAATTGCTCAATTGTGAAAAATTCTGGGTGGTGGCTGCTTCTTCCATGGAACTGCTTGAGCTTGTATTGTCTGCCTCTGCCTAATACTCCCTTGGGGTGCGAGCATATCAAATTTCTTGAAGTATCTATTGAATAGTAAATGTTAATTATTAAATTCGATAATTTACACCTTTCCGTATTCCTGCAGTTTTGCAAATATTCAGAAATCCCGTCGTCAACAGAAAACTGTGCCAAAAGTATGTTAGTAATGAACATAGCCTTGCAATAATCGATTATTTTTCCTCTCAAACAGAGTTA